TAAGATCAGTCAAGATATTAAAGGCATTCAATATTCCATATAGAATATCCAATAAATCTCTTTTCATACGACGACATATCAAAAACGAAACGAATAATAGACAGAAAGATATAACGTAAAATGTCACCGTGTACACAAACTTATGCATATATCCCATACACCAAAATCGTTGAAACCATCCTTGGTGACACATAGATAAAAAAATGGTCTTAAAATTCAAGAGATGAATACATAAATTATGATTATAAACAAAATACATCATCGAAATAAAATGACAAACGAAAAGAAGATTGAAGCACACAAATATGCCGAATGTAAATAACGATTATGGACGACTTAGTCACAACTTTTTCAATCCAGTGGGCTGCTCACCGGTCTATCAACACAAAAGGTATATTTATTATGTATACGTGTGTGTGTACGCATCGACTCTTAGAGACGCTCTTTATCTTCATTCATCTTTTGTCTACGAACTATAAATTTATAATCAACTCAAATACAGCTAGATGTTCCGTTTTGATTCTTAATAAATGAAACTGGATTTGTTCTCTTTTCAATGCCTTCGATTTTTTTTTTCACTTCGATCAATCCGAAAGAAATAAAACATGAAAACAATTTTATCTTTAGGTAGAATTTATATTTGTTTCATTTTAACTGCATAAGCGATGAAATGTCGTCGATCAACGTTATCTCTCATTTGAATGGCACATTCTAATTGATTTATTGTCAATACCCAAACCGAAATGTCTGAGATATCTTCGCAATTTATAAATTCCAATTCAAATATAACCTGAAAACTATTATACTAATTTCGCCCCTTTCTATCGTTTCATTTATGCAGTTTTCTCAGTTATTTTCAAGTGTAAACAAGCAAACAAAACACCTTTTTCAAAAATACATTTCCATCTAGCTATAGTTGTGTGGTTAACAATTGTGTTCATTATACAATATGGTTCGGTTCAGATGTTTTGGCAACCCGAGAAACTCTTAAGACATTGAATAAATATGAATGCGTCTAACAAGAGAGTGCTCTCAACGCATTCCACCATCGAGCGAAAAGAAAAAAAACTTTCATTTTAATATGGCTGCGGTTAGTTGCTTTTCAAATAAATGCTTTAATCATAGATTTATGATTGGGACCTTTTTAAATGGAGATAATTTAGCATATTTACATTTTTGGCGGTAAAGCACTAAGAGCGATGAGAAACACTCGTTCATTGAATAGTTGGTTTTGTGTTAGTGTGTGCACCGCATGAAATGCACTAATGTTGCAATTTGCAATTCGCATCGTTTGTATTTATTATTATTGTCATTATTTTTGTTACAAACCACGATTATTACTATTTGCATAATAAAATAGACTGAGTCAACACGGTAGCCATTGCCGCCAACAACGATGGCGATTAAAAACATTGTTTGAAGAATTAAAATACATAATATTTAAGTATACTGTATCCAGAAGAAACATCGGGCATATATTTTATCGCATCACACTGCTATAAAAATAAAAATTCCAACTTTTTTCATGTAAATACAATCTGAAACTATAAGGTGATCCCGAGAAGAAATTGTTGTGTGTGTGAGTGTGTGTGTGAGTGTGCTTAGACATTCAAGCCGATGCAATTTGCCCATTTTCTTCATTGGTATAATAATATCTATAAGCGAACGATAACGGGCAAATGTGACCGTTCGTTTATAATGTCATAAAGTGTGTGCATGATAAAACTACTCTGTTTTATTATCCTGAAAGTTATAACTTTGGCAAAAGTTCTATGAACTCGATACCTTTAAATCTTAATTAATACGCTCACATATTTAATGCTCTGTTTATTCATGTTATTCACTGAAATCGTCCCATGCAAAAAAGTAAACTGCATATTTACAAACATTCTTATGCCATACACATTTTTCTCAAGAAATTCTGGCTTTTATTTGTTCGAAAAAAAAAGGCAATTCAATCTTTGGAAATTGCAATCAAAACAAGTAGTCAGCAACTATTTTGTCGGTTGGAAAGTGTATTATTTGATGCAAAAAAAATGAATAGACTCAGGCATAATTACCTTATAAATTATTGGAATTTTATGCATGAAGCGAATAATTTCGTTGCCCATTTCAATTAACTGCCGCCGTACAGCAGTTTTTGAGAAATTTCAAATAACAAACATTTTTCTCGAATTTGTAATTTCGAAATAGATTCAGCTGAGCACAATGAATGAAGATGTGAATCATACGACAGGCACAAATTAAAATGCTCCATCGAATCGTTTAATAAATTGAATACACAGGCACACAATTCATATTACATGGAAAATGGGAAAATTTACAGTTGAACACACCTCGAAACGTGGTTCAACTCGGTGTTTGTACAAATTCATGGGAAAATATACACCGTAAAAGAGATATTCCTAAATCAATTTTTATCTAAATTAAATCATTTACTCTTTCCTGGATTTAAAAAAGAAGAATTATTCGTGTTGTACAACATTTTTCCGGTATTGGCAATGGATAAACATAAATTCGGAAAACAATATTCAAAAGAAAGCGAATCGCTACTTTGCACTGGTGTCTACATTCACACTCATTTCGAATAGAATGCTAAGCATGTTCATCATACGTTTGTGTTTACTATATGTTTACTTTTGGATTGTTATTTTTTTTTCTTCTTCGGCGACTTTGTCGTCTGCTTTCATGTTTTTAAATCAATTTTCGTTTCCTTTGGCAGCATTTTGTGGTTGGCGCTGTTAAAAAATCGTTTTGATTATTCTATACAATTTTTTTTTGTGAACACATTGAAAATATGCAGAAAATCAAGAAAACGATACATATTTATATCTTATTAAAATGGTAGCAGTGGAATTTAATTTCATGAAGACGAAATAGAAGAGAGCGAGACGTATATAAATAGTGATAAGCATTAAATATATCAACGGCTCAGCTGGCAGTAGACACGATGTATATTATATATTTTCCTCTCCCTTGCCATCAACATAAAACTATTGACTATAGTCCAAGACCCGGAGCCATAGCATTAGTAAATAATCAATGTCAGTTACTGAGAATGTTTGTATTATGAGAGTGTATATGTTAATGTATCATATTGATTCACTAAGAAAATGAGAAAGGGGTTAATTCGAGATGAATAAAACAAACCAAAAAGACAGCCGTCTCCTAAATACCATAGTTCGTTTCAAATATCGACATTTAAAACACTAATCAGCGTTGAAGTTTCAAAAGGACGCATAAATTAATAGAAATAGTTCACTTTGTTTCAAATTGAAGATAAAAAATAAAAATAAAAGAAAGTTGGGCAGTCGGGAAAAAGAAACAAAAAGATAAGAACAACAAAAAGACAGTAAAAATAACAGCTTAAATTGTATCAACGAACGAAGAGAACAATCTAAGTGAGAATATTAAAGTGAAAATAAAATGTTATGCTGCGGCCCAAAAAAAAGACAGAGAACCGACCAAAAGGAGATGTGGTTGCAATCGAAGAGCGAAATAATATCAGTCTGTAGACATTTTAAAGCTGCCGATATGCTACTGTTCTCAAAGAAAAATAAAATGTGTGTGATTACGTTGCGACTAGTCTCGTTTCAGTCAAATCCGTTTATAGTTTGCGAATCAGTTGGTTTGCTGTTGCCGATATATATATGTATGGCTCAATGAGTCGACTAGCAGCAGCACTGCTGCTGTTGGTGTTGCGTTGCGAGAGAAAGAGCGCACAAGTTGTGTAGTTGTTGTGCTTTCTGAACTGTACTGAACTAGTAACGAGCACAATTATAAAGCCCAACCCAAAAATCTAACATTTTAGCATGGGCGTAGTTATTATTGCGCGCACAGCTGTCTCAGCGATATGAATCGCGCGTCGTATGTTTATGTTCTTTGGCTGCACTCTCAAACTCACACACAATCAACATGTTTTGAAGCCCGAATGATGTGCTCGTCTCCGTCAAGCGACGTTTTATATTTTATACTCTCTGTCGACACACAGAGCAGTAACGTCAAGTGGAAAATCGGGATAGTAATGGTAGTGTGAGGAGCTAAAGCAAATACAAACACGAACAGAATATATGAACGAACGAACGAACGAGAGGAAAAAAAATGAACAACAAGAAGAAGAACGTATGGAGCGCATAACGAGACGAGATTCAGTGTCAGTTTGCGCAAAAAAGAGCACCGAAACAGTTCGTCATATACGCAAAACCCATACCGATTTTCAATTTGAACTGGCACCAGAGAATTGAATATTATGTGCGCGCACCGCGCTATACTTCACACAACTCTTATGTGTATACATCACTCTGCATATGCATGGCATGGCCACATAACGAATGGCAAAATGATTTTCTGCCTCAGCGCATCGCACACACGCCAGCAAAGCGTTTTCATTCGTCGTTCACTTTTCGAAATGCAAGTATTTGTTATTCGTTGTGACGACTGATTGAGTGATTCGTGAGTGTATTGGTGGGGCAACTGGTTTGAAGAATGATTGACAGCCAGAGATACGTTCGTCGCCGTTTGCGACCATGTTACGTAAAGAGATGCGGCAGACGCAAGCGTCAATCGAATCGCATTGCAGTGACATTAAGAGAGAGAAAAACCATCGTTCGGAGAGAACATTGAGCTGGTATTGATGACACACACCGAAGTGAGGTTATACACATACGAAATATCTAAAAACGTATACGTTTGTTACTGTTGCTGTTGCTGCTCAGAGTGATTTATGTTTATTTTCTTTTTTATTGATTTTTATTTTAGATTATTCGCCATTCGGATGGTTTTTTTGCTTGCGTTTGCAAAAATTGTTATACAATTGAAATAAATATCGAAGCAATTTGGCTTGATTTCAACAAAAATTTAAAAGAAATGTCCATTGGATTGATTTGTATGGGAGAGGAATACACAAACGCAATTTTCGTAAAATTATCACTAATTTTTTTACCATTTTATTGGTCGTGAATGTCTTATACTAGAAAAATTAAAAAATATTGTGTACTCACCATAATTGCAAGTGATGATCGTACAGAAATTGGAAATTTATTTAAAAATGTTCTCACTACACTCGGAATCTGACAGCCGTACACACAACAAACTCATAAATAACAAGCTTTGTTTGTTGTATTATTCTCTTGTCATTTGACGCACGGTTGGACGCTCTCATTCCATTGCGTTTTCGCGCCATAATAAACGCAACCAATTCGCTTCAATTCGTTTCGTACGACAACGATGACTATAATCAATGCGTACGTGAGTTGAACACGGTACGAGGTAAAGTTTGATGTATAAAGCGTCACTCTGATTTTTGTTTTTGGTTTCTCTCATTTAAAGATTTGCATGTGTATAATCAAATTATATTCGGCTGAAATTGTGCACGGAGCATCTTTGCTGTACGTTCTCAATCCAAAACATTTGCAAATATAGTTGAAATGGGAAAACCTTGTCGCATAGACAACAATTTTCGTCGTTATTTTCTTCTCTTCTGGTTTTATGCTGCCATCCAATTCTCTTTCTCTCAATGGTGTACTATTCTATTGTTATATGAATGACTTTGGCTCGTTGCTCAGTACTCAGTACATAGCTTTAGTTTGATGCGCTCAGAAATTGTAGCATTTTCTCTATCTCTGTGTGTGACCGATTAATAGCCGATGATTTTCCGAAAATGTAATATCAAGAGAGGTGGATTTATAAGAAGACTCCACCTATCTGTCATTAATATGACATGTTAAACAAGAAGTTGACAGCTTTTGCACACTGTTTCGTATATGTCTCATGGCATATGGTTTGAATGTGTGCGTGTGGCTTTTGTCTGCTATACGCTATATGCACGTTTATTTTTCGATTCGATGCACATTGTCCCTCTTTTTACGTTGACGACAGTGATCTTTTCATTCATTCATCCATTTATTTTGTGCATTTTGCAAAATACAAAATCAGGAAAACGAACGGACAACCAACCGCACGAATGAGAAACGAACGAATGAACGAAAACAAAATATTAGTTGTATTGTATAATGCGAAATATAAAACTCATCACACACGCGATGATCCCAAAAACTTGATGAGTTTTCTCTACGAGATTTGCGATGGATAAAACTTTGTGTTTATTCCCTTCGGTCGTGTTTCACTCGCATTTTACGGTACACATGCACAGCATACCAAGTAGCGTTAAACTAATTTTTCTTCTTATTATATTTTCCAAAATAAGATACTGTGTACACACACACACCCTGACATTCATGCCAAAAATAAACAACGTCAATTTTTCCAAATGAAATTTCTTTTTATTGCCACCAACAATTATTTTCGACTTTATTCTTTCCCTGTCCCTTTTTTTCCTTCCATCTTGTTCATATCCAATTAGATAAATTCATTCCCGTTCTTGTATTCTTCTGGCTATTTCGATGGCGTGTTTAATGATAACTTTTCGGTACTTTGTTCTTTTGCATATTTTCTGGATTCAGTGGTGCAAGCGTGAACATGCATTCATTTACCTGTTTGGAATTCGTTTGGCTTTTATGTCCACACTTATTTTGCATTCATTCGAATTGTCTTTGAATATTTAAAATTGTAAACTGTATACAGAATATATTCGAAGAAACCTAAACCAATTAGAGCAAATAAAAATTAAATGCACCCATTTGTAAATGGACTTTGTTTTTCTGAAATAGTTTCATTTCCCTTTTTTTTCGATGAGCTCGTGACTATTACATTATACGCGAATTAAAAACACACAGCAAACGAAGGAAAATTTTTGCATTTCATTTAATATAATTAGAGAAGATTGCTAATTGGAAAAATCAAATGGCGGCAAGTATGTGGCTGTTGAGACTTCGTCCATAAATTCAATACCTCATTGAACGCGAATAATCCCATACTTGTACTGTATACACGTGAGAATTTAAGGAATTTTCCTAAGTGTGATTGTTTCACCACATTTTTTCTTCTTTTTGATTGTTTCGAAATTACTCCGAAGAATTGAAGTCATTTTCAAAAAAAAAAAAAAAAAAAAAAAAACAGAAAAAATAATTTCATCGACATATTATTTAATGATTTAAAATTATTTGAAAAAATGTCACTTGGCGTTCGAATATACATATGTAAAGTAAAACTTCGGCGACATAACTTTCCTTCTTCTTCGGTAAATAGGTTTTATTCTCCTCAACAAGACTTCAATATATTGGAATATTTTGTTTGGCAACGGCTGCACAACGACTCTAAACATTTTGTACCCCTGAGATGTATTCTCCATGTTTGCATTAAATTTCCAACATTGATTCGAGTCAAATGCATAAGTTCCCCTTAATCGATAGAATAACCGAATGATAAAACTGGAAAATATATATCTACAGCAGCATTGTACATTGCACAACTAACACATATAAGTTGCGCGTGTATAATTTCTCTCTCTCTCTCTAAAATTTCATTTTGCTTTTTACCGGTTTCTCCTCCGAAACAGCATGTATGCTATACGAAGACGTGTTTTCTCTGCGTTTTGCTTTCTCTCTCTCATTTAATGTCAAAACATAGCCGTATCGAATGAGCCGAATAACAGAATTGTTGGAATGCCATATTGTTGACTCTCTGTTATATACTTGGCGATGCGATCGCCGAGAAAAATCTCTACTTCGGCGTTTTTCTGTGCGATGATTTGAAGCGACATATTCAAGCGTTTTATACAAACAAGTTGTGTCCATTTTTACTCATTGTATACATGTATTGAAGCATATCGATATCGTTTGGCGGATATTCACTACAATATAATACAATCGGTGCTTGAATGCGTTCGATTTTTTTTCCTTCGTTTCAACTTCTTTGGATTTGATGATCACCAATCTTCTATTTGCCCAGACGATACAGTTCACGGCGGCTTTAAAACTCGTTGCGCGCATTCGATATTGGCAATATGTGTGTTGTATATATGGAAGCAAAAATCAGTAAAAAAAAGATACAATTTTACTTGTGTTATTTGTAGTACGTTTGCGTTTCGGCCAGTGTTGTTGTTGTTGTTATTATTTATTTTCATCGTCATCTTTTTTGGCTTGCTTGTCGTTTTGTTTTCATGTCGATAGTGGGCAAATGAGACTGTTGTCGCTTTAACTGTCATCGTGGTTACGCGCTTGTTGTCATCGTTTTGGTGTGCGAGCCGCAACTGGATTGTCGTGTGTTATGCCATTTTATTTGGTTTGAATTGTGTGCATGTATGAGTTTATTTCAGCACATGAATACAGTGCAGAAAAAAAAACATATGCAAGACACTGAATCAAGCAACGATACGACAATATATGTATGTATACAACGTATTCACGATTGTCGTCGCTATTTAACAAGAAATTCCGTTTGAGTATTTAGTCACTCAATGCAATGTCTATAAGTTGGTAGACTTTTACCCCGAATTATTTCGCATACATTCTATTGAAAAGCTTCTGCCGCGTACCAAATCTCACAACATTTCGGATGGTGCGTGCATTGGTGTTAGTGGAACGTAATAAAATCGCACGCTCTCTTTTTCTTCCTTTCTCTCACTCTCGCAAACAAACACACACAAACACACATTCACGCTTCAATACATTGAGCAAGAGTCTTCTATGGAAAAATATTAATAACAATAATAACAATTACACCAATTCTACCATCGAAAAGGATTCAAACATATATTGTGACGTGAACATTTTGTGCACAATGCATTTTTAGATGCGCTGCCTATTTTCATTTTTCCGATTGAGATTAAAAAAGAACACTATTCGATAAATTAAACACAATTTCTGATTTATCAAATTTTTTAAAAGTAAAATACCGATACATCTTTGAAAACATTAAACAGTGCGAAATTCATTATCGTTAAATTAAAAGTTAAAGTGTTATAAACTGTGTTTCAAAAAAAGTGTTTATTCCATACAAGTAGAAAAAGTAACTGGAAATTATTGACTTAATACATAAATTTAATGTAAAATCTATATGTGGAATTGATAAAATAAAAAATTGACTTCAATAAGTGAAAATTATTAAACTGTTTATTTATTAAGTGTGATGACTTTCGCTGGACACTAACCAATTAAAAAACAAACGTTGTGCAAAGTGCGAATTGCAACTACTAACAAATCAATGAGTAAAACGACCGCAAAACGTCACTAAATTTAAGCCAAGAAGAGTTTCACTTGTACAAAAATAGCTCAGATGAAATAGGTTTTTTTTTTCATTCATAATCTAAATTTATTCGCACTCTGAGATTTGAGTAGGTGGTTACTTATTAGCTCACATGTATAATCGCTTGTCGTCTTTTCACAATTTTTTTTATATAAAAACAATTATAAAACTATTGAAGAAAATCGTTTATTAAACAAATAATACGTACCAGTCTTAAACTATTTGATTTAATTCACAAAATTGGCGATTTATAATGAAAGAAATTCATTCATAATAGGCAAATGTAAAAAAAATTTCGCAAACATCTAATGTTTACAAATTCATTTGTGCAACGGATGACCCATTGATAATTCATAGTGAAGTGAAATTCATTGACCGAAAAAGAAGAAGCTGCACCATTGAATTGATGAAAAAACTTTTCTTCTTCATATTTTGAGTCGTGTATTTGCTGAAGAGAAATCTCTCAAATCAAGCATCACATCATCGATGCTGTTGATGCAGAAAAGGCGAAGAATTTTATAAATAAATAAATGAACAATAAATTCAAATGAATTATTAGCATGTTAATAGATAAACAAGAGAGCCAAGAAGCACACAGTGATTGAGTGAAGGGTGAATGCTATATATTTTTTTTTGTATTCGATCATTGCATTTACACAATAGTATTGTAAACGAAAAAAATCGAATTCATAAACACAGAGAGCGCAATTCGCACAATTGCCGCTAACAATACACAACAACAACATATATATGCAACAAGAACAACAACAACAAAAAAACGTGAAATTCATCAAACAAACTCACTCAATCCCGACAAAAAAGACACTCTCAAATGAAAATAAAAACATTATAAATCACTAATTCAATAGAGTTTGACTTGGTGTGTTTGCGTATTGCCTTTACGTTTGTCACTCAATATTCATTCGAAAAATCGCATCGTTCAGCGCGTTTTTCAGCGGTTTCAAGTTTGTTCACACTCTTTCGTTCACAAATCGATAAACAAACAACGAAAAAAAAGAGACAACAGTGTATGTATAAATAAAACACGACTGGTACAATAAACCAATTTTTGACGTATATGAACAAGAAATTTGGCAATAATTTGTCTACTTTGCTTGTTGATCGTGCGATCCGGTTTTGAGAAAATAATTTGATCGGGGTAAGTACAACGCGATTTCGCAAATATTTGCATGGTACATGTTAAGTTGCAATGAAATTATATTCTATGATTAGTGTGTATCTTGTCTTTTTTTGATTGGCGCATGAAAATGACCTCAATTTGTTCGATGAAATAACTCAATTCGAACATTTTGAGGCCGAGAAACGCTTCGAAAATGATCCGCTGTTGATTTTTAATCGTAATGATATTTAGATCAGCAATCCAATAAATAACCAAATCACATGAATATTTTTGTAATCGAATGCGACTGCATCTCGAAGTGGCATTTTTGGAATTTAGATTTTAGATTTTTATTTTTCTTCCTCTCTCACTCCCTCTCGTTTTTGTATTTGAAACATTTTGAATTTGATTTATTGTCATGAACCACATTTTTAACATTTTATCTGAAAAATGTTTTAGTGGATGTTTTTTTTCTTCTCCGATACATTTGAATGGCGTGAAGGAAAAGAGACCGAGTGGTAATATCACTTCGAAAAGTAAAACGGTTGGCGCCATCAAAGCAAATCGATTTAAACGATAGACACGACACACTCAAACACTTGTTTTGCATTTACAACTACTACTTAGTTTGAACAGCATAATTTTTTTTCTTCTCTTTTTTCTTGATCGTTGTGATTAATTCGGTTTCTCACACACTGAATGATCCATTTGAATGTTTCGGCAGTTGATTTTTTGCTGAAAAAACATATATATACTTTCTATAAGTGAAATCTGATAGATTGAAAATTAAATTTATAATTTATATTACATTCAGATTTTTAAGTATTTAAATATCGGTATCTGAATCAAAGTATAAAGTTGAGTACCAATCCAAGCTGTTTGGCAACACACCATTTTTTTTATTGTACCGTATTTTTATAAAAATTCATATTGACGTATCTCAATGAAATCAATCGCATGAACATTCAATGAGTCTACACATTTAATCGCAGCCATAGAAATAAAATCGGTGCGAAAATGAGATTGCAATAATGTAAAGCCATTCGAAATCCAAACTATGAAAATCATTCAATTGCATAATTAGTAAATATGTTTTTATTTTAAATCAATAAACTTATGGTAAGTTGATTATGTGGTGAAACAGTAAGACATTTTCATCCGACAACGTTATTGGGCTTGTACAAGTCAAGGCAGCAGTAGCCATATTATTTTCCAATAAATTTCATGGTGTGCATCTGCATATGAATCCAGTACGCAATGCTTGCACACAGAGTGACGCATACATCTTTATACCCGATTAAACTAAATACAATCATAAATTTCAACTGAACCAATATTTAAGGCGCACGAACACACACACACACACACACACACACACACACAACCAATCTCAAATACATTCCGCAAATGCCGAACACGTTAAGACTTCTTCATTGCTTCTTCGGTTGGTCACTAAATGGCGATAATAACAATAATAATAGTTGCAATAACAAACGGCAACAGTAACGTAAAAGGTATTACTCGATCTCTTTCTCTGTCTCTCCTTCTTTCTGTAGCATGTGTACGGTGTATATATGGGCCGTGTGCATTGTTGCATCTCTTTGCATGATATTCGTTCACAGCGATCAATTGTTGCGTATGGTTGTTCGTTGTATGTACATTATACAATTGAATTCGAATATTCTTGTGAACTGACCCAACCGAAAATCCTGGCGTGAAGATGAATCTGAACAAAACGACTGGAAAATTGAAAGGGAAGGCGAGAAAAACAATTGCAAAATTCTTACATTCATATATAGCAATATACACACGAAACGAATTCTTGAAAAGAACACCAAGTAAAAGTAGATAAGCAAAACACGGCCAAAGATAGATAGAAAAATAAAAGCATGAACAAGACCTTGGTATGGTATCGATGCATGTCGCCATTGTAAGAAGTTGTGAATTTCAAAAGAAAATCACCGAATATATCCATTCACGGCAAACCGACTATTTCATATGGTAGAAAAATTCACATGTCGTGCTTTTTTTTGGGAACATTTGACAAAAACAAAACAACAATCTCCAGTCAAAGTCAAAAGGAAGAAGTCGTTATGAAATTGTATATATCGGCAAAGGAAAATGTAAATATGATTGTGCCAAACGACGTCGAAGAGTAACATATTTTCGTTGTAATATTGCTGATGTTAAGATTTGTTCTTTTTTCGAACATTGCATGAACATATGCCATCGTGTTTATACCGACGTTCTATTTAAGGTAATTCGGCACCGAAGAATGAACAAGAGAGAGAAAGAGAAAGCATGCAAGCAAGAAATATTGAGAGTATGAGGACGAGAAATGCGTACATTTCAAGGAGAATCCGCATGTTGCAACATATGTTTAAATAGTTCACATAGAGTTCTCAAGTCGATAACTAGTGTGTCTTGGTAACACAAGAATTTTATTTCTTATGTCAACAAATATACAAGAAAATGAAATCATGATTCAAATTTGTGAATTTTTTTTTAATATGCCGTTTGCAAAGAGTAACATTCCCTATTTCGTCTTTGTCAAATATTTCAATTCCTCAGTTTAATTAAACGTGAATTATATTATTGAGCAAGAGGTCTACCATATCCTACTGTCTTTTATTTATTTTTATAAATTGCATGCATGAGTAGTTTCATCGTACATATCTATCGTGTCGTATAATTATTTAAAATTTGCGTGACAGTTCATGTTTGATTTGAATGAATTATTCGATTTGTTGATGTTTTTACGTTTCTTTTTCCATTCCACTTCTCATTTTTGACTTATGATCCACAACAAAAACAAGCAAATTGTGGTCTATTTATGATTGGAATAAAAATAAACTCAATGAATGTTTGAAACGGAAATTGGATCTTGTGATATAAAACATGCATACATGTGAATCAAATGAACACATTTGATGTGTAGTAAATATTCAGAACTGGAAATTGCGTAATCGATAACCAAAACACAGAAAAAATGTACATAAAATCAAACAGCGCAATTTATTTTACGTAGGAATCGCTAAATAATTCATAAAATGTTGCAAATGACATGTTTTATATTCAATTTTATGACTTCTGTCAATTTGTTTTCTTTTTTTTTTTCTACAGAACAACATGTGATCAAATTGATTGTGCATGATTGACCAAATACTTCAATTTCCTCGTCGAAAAAAAAGCAATAAAATGATGAAATGTTTGTCTTAACCTGATTCGGCAAGAGTTAAATTGGGATTGTGTATCATATTTACAAGGCACTTGTTCGTAGTGTATTCAACAGCAATCGATGTTCATATAGTACAAGCAAATACCGTTTCAATTTATAAATAATATTCGGCTCATGCAATCAAAGTGCGCATATCATTTGCTCCAAGAAATATTATTGCTGTTACAAGTGAATAAATTGCGCGCATTGTCATTCAAAATTGATGTTCTAAAACGATGTATTATTCGTTTCAAAAGTTTGTTTATTTGCTTGTTTATTATGTTTTCTGTAGCTTTGCCCCACAATCTCGCTTCGGAAAATGATCCATTTTCAATTGGTTTTCTTTTCAATTTATTTATTTATTTAATCTGACTGACAAATTGATCATAAACCCACTTATTGTTAGTATGCGATGAACGAATATGTCGGTCATAAAGCATAATTGCTCACACTGATGCAACAATGGCAGAACATTTGCCAATTTTACAATCCACATTTTTGTCGTCGTCTAATTGGTGTCCGACTAAAAACAAGACAAACTTAGATTTCTCTCTTTCTCACTCACTCTGTTGTGTGAGCGTAATAATGTCGAAGTGCAATGACAGCGATTGTAAATAAATGCATCGAAAAACCAGTTTTATTCGTTTCATTATAGAGAAACCAGAGCTATTTTGCATGCCCGAATCACCGACCATTGAAAAAACGAGATAAAAAAATGACAATGTTTGAACAAATGAGTCATAAGATTTAGCAAATCACTTCCAATGTTCCAGCAAATTTTATCTCGTGCGAAATCGTCAATAGTAATAATAAAATGTCGACACTTCTATCGCTTTAATTAGAAACGGAAAAAAAATATTCATGTATACAATATACATTTTCATAAATTTGTCTGTTGGATAAACTTTTAATGCGTTCAATTAAAATTTAACGAATTGAATTGTAACGAATGTATGAAGTTCGGAACATTTTAATGTCCAAGAAATTATAATGCGGCAAACATCTCCTAAATATATATATATTCGGGATCCGTACCATGTAAACAGTTCATTCTCTCACTGGCTTTCTCTCTCTCTCTCTCTATTTCGCACATAGCCGCGACGAGAAAATATTATATCTGGTTTTATTTCAATCTGCAGTAATTTAGTATTAGCTATTATAAAGTACTAAGGGGAAGTTTAACTTCGGCGCTAATGCTTTTCGTTTTGGTTGCTGTGCATGCTTTGGTCGAGCATTTTGTAATTGGCATCGTATGCAGTTTGTCGGAAGTGTTGATGATGGTGGCTTTTGGTCGTCAGGTTGAGCGCTGTTGACGGTAGTGCTTTGTTGCTGCGCTTTTTTTTTTTTTTTTCATTAGGTATGACGGGGTTCAGCCACTCATAAAGTCTTATTTTATATTGCAAATGGGAAACATAAAGAAGCAAATTGTTAGACAGTTAAATTAAAATGAGCAAAAAGACGCACAAATAAAACAAAAATTCTCCAACGAACGCTGGAAATTGGCGTTGATTTTACAAACGAAATGAAAATTTTCCAGGCCAGACAAACAGTTCGAACAAATTTATTTAAGAATATTATTTTCCATTCCTATCAGCGGGTGGCTTTACATCTAGTAGGAATCTGGTCTGAGATGATGCTACTGCTTACAGCATTTCGCATAGTTCATTTTTCGTTGTATGGTAGTAGTTACTTGTACATGTTCATTGGTATTTATATTTTCTTCGTGGAAAATTTCTTCAAACACACATTTCACCGTTTCTTTTCTAATTTCTTTTTTGTTGTTCCGTTTGCATTTTGTATGTGTTCACTTGGTTTTCATTTG